ATTGGTTCATTTTGTAGAATGTAACCTCTTGAAATGTTCAAATCTTCTTGTATGAGTGATCATTTGAATATTCATGAGGGTGTTTTTCATTTAATTTCAGAAATCGATTCCTCATAAATTTTATTGCATTCGCATTTTCAAAAGTGAATGTGAATAGCGAAGCTGCAGGATTGTTTGCATTTTCGAAAGTGCAGATCAAAGTTCTTTTGCTAAAATGATTTTGTCTCCTCTAAGCTTCAGATTCAGCTATGTAGAGAATGATTTAGGGAAGAGGAAAAGAGCAGCGAAAAAGTGAAAGGAGTCCTCACTTTGCTTTTTCTTCCTTGCGAAATGTGAATTTTCGAAGAATCCAAAATCTTCCTCGAAATAAACACAAGTATCGCTAAGAGGCGAGAAAGGTAGAGAAAAAATCGAGTCTTCTAAGCAATGGCATGGATTTTTTGCTGGAAGCTGGAGCTGGCAGCTTCTCGTCAATCGACTGGCGCGCATGCTCCTGGATGTGTAGGCATGCGAACTTTGCAAAAGGGGCGTGGCATGAGGAAGCCCGTTGTCAGGGAGTTATATGCGTCTATTGAACGTATTTGTGCATATTTTCCGTCGCATACCATCATTCTGCTTCGTTTTGCTGTTTTCGCGCCTATCGAGACTTGGTTTAGGTGCGGCTTTGCTCACCTTGGTTAAGGAAACAGTTCGAGGCGAGTCAAGTGATAACCAGGAGGTAAGATTCCTGGAATTCTGAGGTTTTTTTGCGTTTTTTTTTCTGGTAAGAGGTGACTGCTTTTCTTATCTTGTTACATTTTTACCTTGAGATTGCACGTGATAGTTCGTGTATTTTGGTTGGTTCACACTTTCCATGGTGCTTTCAACCACTTTCTTGTTTTTTTCATTCAAGTTTTTCTAATTTGCAGCCATAAATGTATCTAATGTCTTTTATATTCGTGCTCCATGCCCATATTACGTGCTAAGCTTCCATGTTTTTTCTAAGGCATTATGATTTACGACTTTTCTTCCCTACCATCATCTGTCCAAATCTCGCAGTTTTTATCTATATTTAGCCACAGCCGTCATTATCAGCAGCGCCTATTGCAGTGATCATTTATCTTTGTTTACTCGGCTCTCGTCGTTGTCCCGTAATCGATGTGGACATAATGTAAAATCGATTACAGATGGACTTTGAGGCTCCACCACCTTTCACAGGAGCATTAGATGAGCCTCCAGATGTGGAATTGGATGCTCGATTGACTGTCGATGACGATGACGAGGTAGCCAGTCAGGTAGACATTCCCACTGACCTCCCCTGTTCCTCGTCTCCACCAAGCTTACCTCCAATAATTCCTGTGGCGAAAAGGAAATCACCCGAACCTAAATTACCCAGTCCTTTACCACAAGTTTCAAAGGATAATCCTCCGCCGGAGATGAACGGGGTGATCGAAAATGGAGGTAATCCAGATTGATTCTTATACTGTTATTGCAAATAGTTTGTATTCAGATGCGCAATTTCCCAAAGATGATGAAAACTTGGAGGAGAATGATTTGCGGCAGACTTTTACCTCCACAGCGGACGGTAAAGAGAGTCCGGAAGCATCTCAGGGAGCTGCGGAGTTGGACGCCACTCCAGACGTTTTCCCAAAGG